AACTTATGCACCCAAACGAGACATTATCGCCTTTCTCTACAAACTCCTGTACATGCTCCGCTACAGTCCTCTGGCACAGGTCGAGTACAACATGGTAAGCGGCAAAAATGGAATGAAGAAGCCGGCCCTCTCCTGGACTGCCCTCGGCGGCTTCGGAGGCCTGCTTGGATTCTCCTGTCAGCCAAATGTTCAACGACGATTTAATGCACAATTTGGAAACATTGAATACATTGCCACTCGAGTCATTCAACAAGACGAAGATCTGCTGCTCTACTGGTGGGGATCCAAAGGAGACAAGCCCAAGTTGCGCCGGAAAGTTACCAAAACTGGAAACTTGATGAGTAAGCCCTTTTCTCCTACACTGTTTTCCAATGCAAATGCTCCAACAGAACAAGCTGTCAGTTTGGTTGAACAATACTTCAAGCGCAAATGCACTGAAAAAGTTTGCAAGTGCAATTAGCAATCGTTGAATTTTTACACAGATTTGGATTTTGTTTTTTATGCAGAATATTCATTATTGCAAATGAGCTTCAAATTAAATTTTTGCGATTTTTAATTTTTTAACAGCAGTTTCACATTTCACAAGCACAAGTCACTCTAACAGTTCTAAAACAGCTTCCCAAGTACAGTAGAAAAGCGCAATTGCTGACGTGACAAAAGGTTATTTAGTATTTGCATCTCTGCTGATCACTTGCCAACTCGCTAGTAAACCCAAAAAACCTACGTTTGCTTAATTCTTTGAATCCTNCATGCAGAATATTCATTATTGCAAATGAGCTGCAAATTAAATTTTTGCGATTTTTAATTTTTTAACAACAGTTTCACATTTCACAAGCACAAGTCACTCTAACAGTTCTAAAACAGCTTCCCAAGTACAGTAGAAAAGCGCAATTGCTGACGTGACAAAAGGTTATTTAGTATTTGCATCTCTGCTGATCACTTGCCAACTCGCTAGTAAACCCAAAAACCTACGTTTGCTTAATTCTTTGAATCCTTCAATGGACGACACAGGCGGTTCGAACCGTCGTGTTTGGCAGCGCGTTCGAATCGGCACCTATGAACCTGATCAAACCGATGGAGCTGATGCGGATGCGGATGCCAACCAGCACAACTCTCATGCGACGAACTATGGCTCTAACCGCCCACTGCCTTATGGAAGCACTCGTCCAAATCGTCCTTTCTTCGATGAGCCCATTGGACCACAGGTGAACCGACCTCGCCGCGGCTTTGGTGAGGTGTCATTTCGCCCTCGAATGGTGCCAGGAGGACGCAACTCAGGAACTGCTCGACAGTACAATTCGCGCAACTTTAGCCGTTTCAGAGGTCCAGGTAATAGAGTCTACCAAGGAAGCAGCAACGCTAAAAGGGGCTCAAAGTCAAGAAAAAGTAAGGGACGACAGAGTAAGAAACGAGGAAGAGGTGGCTATTATGTCGGAAGTAGCGCCAAAGGGACGTCCAAGAATCGACCAAAAGGAAGGCGAATGAAAAGGCGGACTCGACAAACTGCTTTTACTATCCTGAAAGCTGCCTACATCAATGAGGATGCATTCTATGGACGAACTATTGATGAATGCTACTACATACTCACCTCAAATGATACTCTTAATCCGCGCCCTGGAGTGAAGACTCCCGCTGCACTGCCTCCTAACACCACCTTTGCAAAGTTGTGCATTGACCTGAAAAATGAGGTGGCAGAAGTGTTCAACAAGCGTCAGCTGTACTCCTGCAAGAAGACCGCTCGCGCCGCTGTTGACGCCAGTTTGGGTCAGGTGATGGCCGGCGTGGTGAAGATTGAAGACGCCAAGCAGCTTCCCAAAGGCGGCTGGCGCAAAGTGCTGCGCAATGCCGTTCTCCACTACACCAAGGCCATCTGCAAGCTGGAGCAGACCGGTGAAGGGCCGCCAGGCAAGTGGGCGCTCAATGAGAAGGCAATCTGTGACCTGTACTACTCTCGAGCTCAGGTCACTATCACTGTTCAAGTCTGGTGGGCAAAGATTAACGGGTTTTTTCTTTACTTGTAGGCGTACTGCATGCTGCAGCGATACGGCGACTTCTGGTCGGACGCACTGGTAGCACTCTCACTCAGTCCATACACCAAACAGATGGAACTGGTGACCAAGCTGGTGGAGAAACGCATCGAACAGGTGCGTCGTAATGCCGATCCCCGCCAGAAGAATCGCACCACGTCGGAGGCTGCAGTGAAGAAGTGGCGAGAAGATTCGCGTGCCGCCTTGAAGCGAGCCGAAGACTTTCTTCTCTTGCAGGCGATTATCGATCAGCAGAACGACAACAAGATCAATCGCCTGATGGCATTCTACAGGCAAATTGCTCAGCTCCGAAAGGAGCGCCTAGTGGAAGGTGACAAACCAAAGGTAAGCACTTTTATGAGACAAACTGGCTATTACTTTACCGTTACTTTATCATTGCAGCCACCCAAAGCAAACCCAACTCAGGCGCCTGAAAAGAAGCCAAAAGCTCTGGCCACCAACATCTTTGACTACGTTGAGGTTCTGGAGGACAACCGCCTGCGCGTCAAGAAGAACATCGCCAAAAACCGTACCGTTTTCTACGAGCAGGTGATCGCCTTTGAGTCCGGTTCAGGAAAAAACGGTGGCAGCCTGGTGAGCAGCCACTGCGCCAACTGCTACCGCCGACTGCTCATCTCCAAGGCGGTGCCCTGTTCAGTGTGCTCTGACGCCCTCTTCTGCAATGCCCTCTGCCGTGAGGTGGCACAGGGCCACAGCTTTGCCTGTCAGCTCACCGCCCAAGTTCGCGCGAAGCTCTCCAGAAACAGCTACTTTGCCTTTCAGCTCATTTGCTACTGCAACTTCTTCATTCTCTTTTCGGTAGAGAAGGGCAAGCTGTACCGCTCTGCCTTCAAGGATCCCTTTTCCATTACCAGCCAGAACGACTCCTCGACTATCGACTACTGGCCCCGATACGCCGTCATCGCCGCCGTCCAGAAGCGCATCGAGTGTCGGGAGATCAATGTGGTTACACAGGCTGATCAGCACCTCCTCGCCGATGCCCTGTACCTCACCAAGGTGCTCGTTAACATTGCCACTGTGCGATTTGTTCCTGATCAGCAGATTAGCTCTGCTGACGAGAAGTTCGTCTTCACAATGATGTACAAACTGCTGTGGATTGTCCACCACGATCCACTGGCCAGCTCACGACTGGGCAAGAGGAAGGACTTTGCCCTGACTCCTTTCGGCAATATGCTCAACTTCAGCTGCAAGCCTAATGTCAAGCGCAAGTTCAACCCGAAGAAAGGCCGAATTGAGTACCAGGCTCTGGTCGACTTGAAGCCAAATGATATCCTGTCAGTGAGCTGGGGCTCGCTGCTTTACGCCAAAGAGAAGTCCCAGCAGAACAAGGTGAAGCGAGCTGAAGGTCGAAAGAAACCATCATCCGTTTCGCCCACTGCTGTCGTCGGCACTACACAGGAGGCAGCTCAAGTTACGCCCGTGACACGAGTGGAAATGGTCAAACAGCTGTTTGCTCTGAACCATTCACCTTGTCCTAACTGCCCGGAGTTTAAAACTCCGCCTGCTTCCACTTAGGAGCAAGCATTTGCGTATTCAACAGCCCAGAAGTTTGTACAATGCTAAACTGGGCATTTTTAGTTTATTTGCAACTTTTTGAAAACCAGGCATCTTTTGTCTTTTTGATTGGCAGTATATTTTTATGATTTTGTTTCAATGTCATATACACTACTTTGCGCAGCACTGATTGCCTGCTGAGCATGCTCATTCATTTGGAGCAGAATTATAAAAAATGTAACATATTTAATAAATAAAAAATGTTGTTAGAAATTGTTCATACGAGACAGAGTTGTACGAGGAAAAGAAGAAAAAAGTCGGAAAATGATCACAGTTTTATCGTCAGCAATTGAATGTAACTATCGCAATTGTGATGGTAGGTATCCAAAAAAGGTGAAATACAGTCAAGTGTGTTCTCTACATGTAGGTCGGGGTGGGTGTGTATGTTTTGTATACAAATAAATAGAGTGAAAACTCGAGAAATGTATATAAATAAAGCGTGGGAGAAGAAAGGTGATCTTGATATAGTGCCAGAGATTTCATTGGAAGGAGACTTGCCTGGCGGTAAGACGCACCGTTTCAGGGATTCAAGTGTAGTCATCTTAGAAGTGCTACTTGAGTCGTTTCACCGAATTCATAGTCTTAGTGTTTGAAAAGGGATCTTAAAGAGTTGATGTGAGTGTGAGTGTGCTGACTGTGCCAATGTGGGAGTGGGGGTGGTTGTAAAAATGCAATAAAGTAAATAAAAGCAAAGATTTGTTTTGAGATCCTAGGGATCCAGATGAGGGGAAAAGAAATAAATGCATCACAAAGTGAGTTGATAAGATGAATCATTGAATGCTGAGAAGGGGGGAGTTCAGAGTGGGATTCAGGATTCAGGGAACACTTAGTGTCAGTTGAGAGAGAGAAGTGGGGGAGACATAAAGTAGAGCAGGGTTGTGAGAAAGCTTACTAGACTGATGAGGATGAACAGTGGTGAACTAATGGGGCCGAGTCGATGACTGAAGTGATGGGGCTGGCGTTCGGTGGTGGTCAGGAGAGGTGGTGGGCACCTGCGAGTTCGAATGACTGGTCGCGTTGGGTGCTGTTGTGGCTGATGGTGCAGGTGCAGTGTTGCCCAGTGTTCGCAGCTGACTGGCACTGGCACTGTGCGTCAAACCATGAGGATGAGGATGCTGAGTGTAGGCGGTTTGAGTGGCACTGCCTGCGCCTGCAGATGCTTGCGAGGCCAAGCACACCGAGTGCGATCCAGTGTACGGAGTGGGTTGGTGAGTGGGGAGGTGATGGGTGCGACTTTGCAGTGCAGTCGCCCCCTGAGAGGCATCATCGTGAAGTAGACGTTTTAAAGCTTCAATTTCCTGCTGCTGACGCTCCTCCATCTCTCTCCGCTCTTGTTCGTGTCTGTTGAAACAAAGTTTTAGAAAGTTGTCGTTTACATTTTTTTTCATAACGTGAACATACCTTTTGTACAGACTGCCAATCTTTGAATCAAACGGTTCGACTGAAAGCGGTTGCTCTAAAGTTGCTGAGTTCATGGGAGTGAATGCAACATCACCAGTGGTCTGCATTAAAAAGATAACAAGTTATTTTTAAGCAATTAGAAAAACCAAAGTGTTACAAACCTGCTTAAGAAGATGCTTCATTGCCAGCAGCTCAGAGTTGGCCAATGGAATAAAGGGCAACTGTTGGTCGGGTGCAGGTGATCCCGATTCGGATTGAATCAAAGTAGAGAAAGGCAATGTCTGGTGGTTTTGATGTGCGAACGGTGAATGCAGCAGTTCGCTTTGATAAACATCACTGGCACAGGCGGAAATGGTCGCTGAATGGTCTGGCGGTAAATTGCGTGCCTGTGCCGGCGCAACTGATGATTGCGATTGCTGAGAGAGTAAATTGGTGTGATCCACTGAACTGGCGCGGTTCTTCAAATCAGACTGAAAGTGCGCAGGCTGCTGTTGATACATCTGTGAACCCTGTGCAGCCATCATACTTTGCCGCAAACCATTCAACAGATGCTGGACGGCCTGCTGAAGTAGCAGTTGCTGTTCTTTAGATGACAGCTGATTCAGTGAAAGTTGATCATGCGAAGTAAGTGTGCTGTTAGTTGTCATTGTAGAGGTTGAGTTGTGCTCAATCAGCTCAGAGTGGTCTCGAACAGAGGAAGTAGAGCTAGATGAGGCCGATGAGCCCGACATTAAAGAGTGGTCTTCGGGAAAGTCAGTTTGAATGGCAACGTCCTTCACCGGGACCCGAATGAAAACACGCTGGGGCACTTGGGCTGCGGCAATGGCCGCCGCCATCTGCCCTGGAGTCAGATTGGTGGATGGACGCCGAGAGGAGGGCAGGGAAGAGGTCTGCGTGACCACGGCTTTCAGGTCCTTCGCTACAGAGGCTACATGGGCAGCGGTTGAGGAGCCAGTTGACTGATTGCTGTCCAGACTGTGCGGTTGCTGCTGTCCACTACTGCTGTACACTGCTGACATCATGTACGAGTGATTGGGGGGCAGAGCGAATGGCGTGTGGTGGTCATGGTGGTGGTCCATGACGACGTGACTGCCAACATGATCCAGTTGATGATGCTCGAGTTGGCCGCTTGTCTAAAATGATCAATGAAAAAGTGTTAGTTTTACACAGTTAAGAGTGGCAAGCAAGTGTGTCAACTACTAACCATGTGCAAGTGATGGGATGACGGCAAGGAGGGGTAGTGCTCGGCTGGCGGCATCTGAGCGGCATTCGCCGCTCCATCGGTGAAGGTTGAGGCGTCGGACATTTGGGTGATCTCTCCGTCGGGGCCGACCACCGGTCCAGTGGTGGAAATAGTGCTCAAGTCAATCGGTTTCGACAGATCCAGCGCTGACGCGTACTTGCGAATGCTGACGTACGGGTAGGTGTTGTAGCTGGAGTCGCCAGTGGAGTTGGTCGTCTCCGGACTGGTCGTGTCCAGGGCGCCATTCGAGTCATTCGTTCCACAGGTGTCCGAGTGGTGGCCATCGTCCACCTCCTCTTCCTCCTCCTCCTCCGTTTCAGTGTCCGTCTCCTCTGTGGCTGTCACTGCATCTGCATGAACTGGTGGCTCGCGAACCGGTGAGCCGCTCAGTGATGCTGGCTCGCCGCATTCAGACAGAGCAGAACTGGCACTTTCGTATGAACTAGAGCTAAGTGAGTTCTTTGAGTCAGAGTTGGCTACATCGGTAAAACCAGCTTCCTCAGGTACAACAGTGGAGTCGGATGACGTCTGAGAATCATCATTTCTCTGAGTTGAAAGAAGAAGTGAAAAGTTAGGCCATGAGCAAAAACACCAAACAAGTACTATTTACCTTGAGTAGAATGGGTGACGTCTGCGAGTACGAGTCCTTCAGAATGGAAGAGTTGAGAGCAATTTGCTCTGCGCTTAGAGCCTCCCCTCCTCCAATCGTAGTGAGACTGGTGCAGGGAGTGACTGTAAAGCGAGACAGCTTCAGAGACTGCGTAGGCGCAATGGAAGGCATCGGTTGGGCAGGCTTCAGTTCAGCAGCCGATGACACCACCTTGGGGAGAGTGTCCTTGGGAAGGGAGACGGAAGCGGAGGACGAGGACGGAGCACTGCCAGTTGAGTTACTTTCAGGAAAGCTGTTGGTGGTGGTAGTCGTCGGAGTGGTCAGCGTTTCTGCCGTCACCTGTCCTGCAATCTGATGCAGTGCAGTACTGGCTGGCTCAGCGACCGGTGTCACAGAGAAGCGAGAGGGCCGTCTTCCGAGGGCGGCAGAGGAAACCTCTAGAGGGGCAAAGTTCGAAGGGGACACTGAAGTAGCTGCCACCGTAGTGCTGACCATCGTACTTTTAGGAGCCGTGCTCTTCGATGCCAGCAGTTGTACGCTCGATTGTGCTGACTGCTCAGAGTGGGTGCTTGAGGAGACGGCAGCAGCTTCAGCACCACCGGAACTCGCAGTGACTTCCGGCTCAGGCGAACTGGAAATGGCCGCAGCGGCGGCACTAGCGTAGGTGGTAACCGCCGAAGTAGCCGAGTTGTTGGTGGAGGACACAGCTGTGCCAGCACCAAGTTCAGCAGTGGGCGAGGCCGACTGGTGACGCCGTCCGGGCGTGGAGGGAGGAGAGGAGTGCTTGAGGAGCACCAGTGTGCTCGCCATGTCGTCCTCTCCAAAGGACCCTGGGCGACTCTTGGAGCCGCCAGCGAGCTCACTGGGCGACGCCTGCGATTGGTGGGCAATAGTGGCAGGGGCTGAGGCGAGAGACTGCTGCTGCGACTGTGAGGGCGGCGGCAGTGACTGCTGCTGCTGCGCTGAAGCACTCTGTCCATTGGTGGCGGAACTGCTGCTACTGCTGGTGCCTGCAGTTGCGGCGGCATCCTTTGCAGCGGCGGCGTTTAGCAGTTGGGCGTTTAGCTGCGAGGCTAAAGAAGACGGTGGTGCATGAGCAACGTGCGAATGGTTAGGTAAGGGATGGGCAGGCGTGGCAGTACCGGAGCTGGTGGGGGCAAAGATTTCCGTCAGCTTCGACTCGAGATTCGCCTGGATGATGTTGTGCGATGTCGTCGAGGTGGAGTGTGTCGTCTTGTCGGCGTCCGCTTCCAGCTCTGCGGGGTAAGGAGTAAAAGTTATTAATATGGAAGAGTGCACTTAAAGAGTAGATTTACTCTTTGTCGAAGTGGAAATCTTGACCACCGACGAGGCAGGCAGAGAGTTGGTCGAAGTAAGCGGGGGCTTGGAAACCTGAACCGACTGAGTTGAAGTTGGCTGGACAATTTGCTGCCCGGGAACGGTTAATCCAGTAGCGGTGGCTGTCGTGGTAGTGCTGCTGGTCGTCGTGGAGGCAGTGCTGCCAGGCAGGGTGCTGCTCATTGCTGACGATGACTGGGCCGACGTAATCACACCACCTGTTTGAGTTGGTTGAGTCTACAGGCAAAAAGGTAAGAGAATATTCATTAGAATGACTGTCTTCAATGGGACCAGAAAAGCGACACATGACAAGGTTAGTGAACTAATCGGTAATATCAACAAGCAAATGACATGCAAAGGTAGGAAAAGCGACAAAAACTGAGAATGGCAATAAATAGGTGACTGCAATGGACCCTATTAGACCCTAAAGGTTAAGTTCAAAGGTTGAGAAAACTCAAATCAAGTAAATTACCCCTCCAAGTTGAGATGTGGACGGTGGTGGCTGTTGCTGCTGCTGAAAGACAAACTGCTGTCCCCCGGGAAGCGGCGTCGACGGCAGTGGCTGTGGTGTTGACGGCTCCTGACTGCCAATCAGCGGGGTGGTGGGCGAGCTAGGCCTCGACGCCGGCGAGGAGCTCTGCGCAGTACCGCCTGCAGAACTCTGCCCATTAACGGGAACTGGACTGACAGAGGAAGAGTCAGAGGGGGCGGATTGTACAGCAGTGGTCGAAGGAGCGCTGCTTGCTGGCTGAGGCTGTTGGTTGGCTGCCGGGATGTTCAAAGTGGGCTTGGAGACTGTCGCTGGAGACTGCTGCTGAGCTGTTGTTGACTGTTTTGTGAAAAAAGGACAAACAGGATTGCCATTGCAGAACAAATGATTTAGATGTGGTACATAAGAGAGGGTAGGAAAGAATGGTAAAAAAGGTGCATATCTTCCTCTGAAAGTGCACTTGTAAATCTTGTTGCAAAAGCTATCCTAATCCTAAATGATCGAACTTTGAATAATCCTAACATGACTAAATAATAAAAAGGCAAACTGCACTAACTTACGGGCTAACTAAATTTATATAAAAGCCAATTTGTGCATTTCTTAAATACTTCAACTTAGAAGTGAGCGAAAACCAAATGTTTAGAGCAAGCAATTAGACTGAGTACGAACTGAGTGCAAACCAAGACACAATGAACATGGTAATTAACAAAAAAGTCAACGGTAAACAAACAAAATGCTGCACTAAGTAAAAGTTCAGACAGGAAGACAGGATAGAACGATAAGGGAAAGGAAAAGGGAAAAAAGGACAGTAGGGACAGAAGGGAGTCGGCTGAATTGACTCTGCAAATTACCTCTGAAGAGTTGACTCCCTGAGCGGTGGTGGTGGTGGTGCTCGCAGGAGCTGATGATACGACCGCAGACGCCGCCGTACTAGGAACAAGAGCGGTGCTAGGCACCCCCAAAGAGTTCGTAGAAGAGGTGGACAATTCAGTGCCACCTCCAGCATTGGCAGTCTGCTGATCACTGGTGGTGGTCACAGCTGACGATGACTGCTGCGAATCACTAATGACCGAGCTTGAAGAGTGCCCATTCTGACTGATTGGCACTGTCTGCTGATCGGCCACAGTTGATGATGATGAGGATGATGACGGTGCCGTGGCTGCAGCTGCAGAGACCTGTGAGCTAGAGAGCTTGCTCGGGTCGGTCCCCGACACAGCCGTGGGAGGCATGGAGGCAAAGGCAGACAACTGCTGGACAGCAGCACTGGGCACTGAGAGCGTCGAGCTGGGCGCAGAGGGAGTGGTGGTCAGCTGCTGCTGCTGCTGCTGACTACTGTTTGTCTCAGCCACTGATGTGCTGGGAGTGGCAACTGGTACCGGTTGGTGATTCACCATCGACGACGGCACTGGATAGTAGGTCATGCTGGTCCCCGAAACAACGGTGTTCTCAGGTGATCCTTCTGTGTTTGCAAAACAATATCAGAATGAAAAATGGGCACTTTCCACTTGCCAAGTTGGGCTACTTACCAGGGGCGAATGCCGCCACATTTTCTTCAATTAAATTCACGGGAATATCGCTGTGTTTGTAGTGCTGTTGCTGCTGCTGAATCTTCTCAAATCGAGAGTTGGTCTCTGGATTGGAGCTAGGATGGGCATTGGCAAGGTTGGCAGAGCTTTGAATAAGCAGATTTTGGCGATCCTTCAGCAGTAATGAGATCTGATTTTTGATGAGCAGCACCACAATTCGCACGTCTTCTTCGGCGAGGAAACCAGTTTCGACCTGAAAGTAATACAAACAAAAGGTGATAAAATGACTAGGAGGCTAAAAATGTTACTTACCAGTGGCTTGGCAACATCATCCACACTTTCCTTGTCAAAGTTGAAACCAAACTGCAAGGCTTCATTCTCCTTGTACTTGTCCTTTCTCTTCTTTGGATCGGTCACCCGGACGCGCAGCTCCACCTGAGAGTCATAGCTGGCCACTGCCTCGTCCCGGTTAACAAACTCCACCTTGAAGCCAGTGTCCTCCTGGAAGAAGTCATGCTGCAGCAGGTCCTTCACCGTCGGTCTCTCCTCCTTGCGCACCTTGATGCACATGTCGATTATTTGCCGCACCTCAGACTGCTCCACCTTGGCCAGCGACAGCGGCGGCGTTCCCGAGGAGACCTTCTTGTAGATCTGCGCCGGACCGGAGCACTCAGAGTACGGATACTCGCCGGTGGCCATCTCCAGCATGCACATGCCAAATGCGTACACGTCCACCATTTCATCGTAGTGCTCCTCGTACATCTCGGGAGCCATAAACTCGGGCGTACCAATGACCGACTTGGCAAATGAGCGATTCTTCAAGGTCGCCAAACCGAGATCGCCTATTTTGACAGAGCCAGTGGTTCCGGTGATGAATATGTTGTCGCATTTCAAGTCCCGGTGAATGATTGGCGGTGTTCGAGAATGCAAAAAATTTAGCCCCTTCAAAATCTGTCGGCACCAAGATTTAAGAACTTTTAAGTTGATCTTCTTAAAACGACGCAAGTACCTAAAATTTAAAAAATAAAACAATGTTAAATCAGTCTTCTAAAATGTAGTTTGATTTCTAACTAAATTGAAATCGGCACAATCTTTTTCCGTAAAAGCAAATCGCTTTACCAAATGTTTTCCTGCAGCACCACCAAGGTGACTCGCAAACAATGTCAGACAGGAAAGGTCGATGTTCGCGGAGGGAAACGCATATGAAGTCACGTTCTCTGCACTCATCAAAACGCCGAACAAAGCCAGAGTTCATTAGGCAAAACATTCAGTGACATTACGCGTATCAAACACTTAGCAACCTCTCTCTCCAATATAAATAGGTAAGGTCTCCGAAAGAAACCCAACTCTAAGTGAAAAAGTTCAATAACACCTGTCGAAAAGTGTCCAGAAAAATAAAACTTGTTGTACATTATAAACACGTCCAGATTCCGTTTGAAAAATGGTGAACAATGAAAAAGATGCTATCTGCATGGAACAGAAGCAAGCGATAAAAGTCCATTTACCCTCAGTGAGTGCATAGCAACTACTGGAGTACACCGGAAAAAATGGCCATTTTCCTTCTGACTATCAACATTTGGTGAATTTCAAACATAATCGCTCATCTCTCTCATTTTACCAGCAAATGCACAGGGTCAGATGGAGGGGAAAGGACATACTCCAAAGTTCAGTGCAGTAGAGGGGAAACACAGAGAGAGAGAGAGAGAGAGAGAGAGAGAGATCACTTTTCCGGTAGTCAGAGAGTAGCTCTGGTAGTGGCGTCTTCCAGTGCACATTCGCCTATGTCAATTGTGGCAACTGGTGATGGCCTCTGAGAGCAGCAGACAACTGCCAACCGAAACAGCCTCGGTCGTCAACCCTCTCTCTTTTTCTCCCTGTCTTGCCTCCCTCTCCCTCTCGGTGAGTGCGATGAGGGGCCAGTCGTCAGTGGTGTCTGGTAGTGATTCTGCATAAAAAGAGGAAGAAAAGAAGAGTCCTCTTCTTCTAAATTTCATCAACCCCGCCGGCAGGCAGCAGACTAAGGAAGTCCGCTACTCTGATTCTCTATCTCCCCTTCTTCTTTAACTTTAACTTTAGAGGGAAAATATGGTAACTTCATTCATTCATTACTCTCCGACTTAAATTAGACAAATTTAGATCACCGCAAAAAGAAGAAAAACAAAGCAGCGATCTAGACTACTGGTGACGCCTAGGAAGTGGGGAAGGATATTATAAAGTAGCGACACTCGCCAGACAGACAAGGAGAGAGAGCCAGTGGGAGCAGACCAAAAGAGTGTTGCAAACAAGTCTTCCTACCAGTTGGAGTCCAGCCATACGGCGGAGTCAGTCAGTCAACAAGTCAGTAGGTAGACAGACTTGGCGACTGGGCGAAAAGTACTACTACTGCCGAAGACTGTTACCAACTGCCACTTCCCATCCATCCGCAGCTGAATATTGCTGTCGCGCAGCTCAGTGTGTGCACAAATAGACAACAAGTAGGCCTGTCAAGTGTGGTCGGCGGCGGCGGTGTTCAAAGGGTTAAAAACCCTTGAGTGGTAACGCAACTTGCACCGATGAGCCAGTTGATAGACCACTTTATCCTTCAGCGCTCGCTGATGAACGAAGAGAGAGGGAGAGAGAGAGAGAGAGCTGTTTCTAACGGTCTGACTAGCGAAAACGAGAGAGAGACAAGCAGACTACAAAGTCCCTCATAAAGTGAACCAGTAAAATCCAGTTTTATTAACAGGTGCCTATCTGACTGCATGAAACTGACTCGAATTAGGGTGGTTAATTAATTGTGCCATACTGTTGCTACCCCCGCATAACCTAGAAAAAACGAAAAGTTCGATAGAGGATATTTAAAACGGAAGGGCATTCTAGAGCAAGGATTTCTCAAATTAATCAAACTTTTAATGACTGTTATTTGCACTAGTGACACACTGCTCATCGACAAACTAATATTAACAAAAATGTTGGCTTTTTATAGTTTAAAAATCAGCTATTGTCTACTTCAATTAAAAACAACAACAAAAAAAAATACTCTCCGTTTAAGCAGATAAAATCAGTCTAGAAAACCTACAAACATGGCAGACAGTCTACGAGGTCTATGACGTGTCCCAGACAGAGAGAGAGAGAGAGAGAGAGAGAGAGAAGATCGGAAGAGCGTCGTGGAGANAGAGAGAGAGAGAGAGAGAGGAGGCGGTAAGCCTGTGGTGTTGCTAAGAAGTACGAGGTGATACGCTTGAAATAAAAGTATGATCATTTTCAAATGAAAAAAAGTGTAGTGCAAACGAGTTGAGAGACTTTTGAAATAAACCCTCAGACAAAGAAAACAGCCAGCCAGACAGACTGAAGGAGACAGACAACAGACACTCGGGAAAAACAGACAGGCAGAGAAGGGGAAGAAGGGGAAAGAGAGGCACCGTTTCGTCGGTGACCTGACCTGTTAATGAGATTTGGCAGAGTGAGGAGGCAAAGAAAACAGAGAGAAAACAGCCGGCGAGACGCCCTGGTTGCGTCTGGCAAGCTTGCAACAATGTAACGTTCTCCATGTGTCGAGTCTAATTGCCATTTCTCAAGCGTAAGTAACTGGGAAGTGACTTTTGATCTGCATCTCTGTGCTCTCTCTGTAACACTAAACTCGCGTACAACCTATCACTCTCTTGGATTGCGGATACAAGTGCAAATCCATATAATATTCAGTTGACAAGAAGGCAGTAGAGTACGCTTTCTGGATGTTGGCCAATGTTTCTCCTGGAAATGCAGATGATCGAGTAGATAGACGCGCAGAATTATGAATGCAACAACACATCACCGCAGAGGCAGAACTTCAATGGAAGGTTTTCACTGTAGAGTTGTGAATGAGTGACAACAGTGATAGTGATTGAAAAGAAATAGGCAGCAAGTGCCATTCAAATAAACACAGAGAGAATGCAGGAAACAACGTGGGCAATTGCAGTGATTATTTGATTCTTTGAAATGCCGTACTCGCTTGAAATAATATAAAGGAAATTGATACCGACAAAAAAGTTCAATAAAACGCTTCTGTGAAAAACTCCGCCCATTACTGGTGATAATATGGTAATTCAGTCAAGTAATGGTCGTTTTAGAAAAAAAATCAGTACATCTGCCATTTGCAGTATCCCATTGAAGGCACGGTTCAGTTCTGCCATCGTTGCCCACAAAGTACCAAGATAACTAGTGCCTAAAGGTCAAGAATATTGCATATCATAAAGTAAACTGGCAATGGTGATTCAGCAGACAAAGTGGAGAGAAAGATAGAGAGAGCTGTCTGTCACCAGTTGTGACTAGTTTGTACAGTAGGAAGTAGTAAGCATAGAGGCAATAATAGCATATATTCTGGCAAGACCTGTCACCAGAGAAACCATTTTCGGTGAAATATACCAGAAGTACTGGTACTGCCATCCCACTCTATTGCGGCAAATTGCGTGACTACAGCTACAGCAGTGCAACACCAGCTCAGTGCCGCCGCACCTCACCGCCACTCTCCACAACTAATCATCTGATGAGCAACTCTTTTCATTAGCCAACTCTCCGGTAATTACTGAAGTTAAATGCTGCACAGGTCCAAACAGCTAAATTAAGCTACTTACGTTTTAAGCGTTCCAGATGTCATCAACTCGGTTATCAGTACCAGGTACTTTCGTTTGGCTGTGTTCACCTCCCAAAAATCGTAGAATCGGACAATGTTCGAGTGTTGCAGACCCTTGAGCATTTCCACCTCTTCACGAAAACGTTGTCTTTCATTTTTGTTTAGTCGTTCCTGTAAAAGAAAAAATTACATTAGTTTTGCATTAAAATATGAGCTTGAGAAACCGAGTTTAATGAGGGTGAACTGCAACAAAGTGCAACAGGCATTGGTGCAAACAAATATTTGCCTAAATAATAATTGCTTTTGTTCCCTAATTTAAGAATATTTTTATATTGAACAAAACAGCTAATGATAAAAGCTAAATCAACTGTATAAAGCTACTGTACCCTATGAACTGTCCAAGCGTCCTTTCGTACATTCGTGACAAGGTCAGGCTGAACAAAGAGCCTTCAGTTAAGTGCCTACTTCCCATTTCCGGTAATTCCCCACAGAGCCTCCTAACGTCACTTCCTGGAATGCTTTTCAGCGTTGCAAATGCGAGCAAAATCATTCACAAATATTTTTGTAAAAAGGAGAATTTTTACAACAAACCCTAAACGCGTTAAAATCCTCAGCAAACTTGCGTTCGCCTAATAATCAATTTATTTGAAAAATGGCCATTTATCGAAGTTTCAATACTGCTGCTGTCTTTGTTCCCCGCTGTATATTATATTGAACTAACTACCCTTAATCACATGTAAGTGTGCTCCAGAGGACTGATGTACTTTTGTGAAAAAATAGAAGTAGCACAAATGTCTATGTAAATTCCTGGTCATATGATAGCCAGCATTGTGAACACCCATCCACTTGCGATATCATGAGAAAAAGGAAGAGAAAAGGACTATTAAGCATTGGAAAGAGCTGTGCATGGAAGAGTGTGTGTGTGTGTGTGATAGAAAGCAAGCCCACTTGCACGCGAATCAACACATTCACTGCGCTCACACATTCACAGTGTGTGCACGAGCGTCTTTGTACAGCAGCGAGCGCTGTACAACTCGTCACACAGGCAGTTGTTGTGTGCAGTTGTCCTTCGCATACTCCGGCGAGGCGCCATTGGAGAATGATGAGAGAAATCGCACACGAGGCGATGGTGACAAACTAAACACACACACACACACACATACACACACAAAATTGCCGCATCGAAATTGCTCCCGGACAAGAAAGAGAGTCTCGCCAAAAAGAAAAGATGCAGATAGCGAAGAACAGTTATACGCCGATAAGCGTCTGTACAAGTCTGCCCAAAACATACACACACACATGATTGCTGGTTGGCTTTTCTCACAAGCTCTTCCACTTCTAATCAGCATCCATTTGATCAGTCGTGTCACNCTCCGGCGAGGCGCCATTGGAGAATGATGAGAGAAATCGCACACGAGGCGATGGTGACAAACTAAACACACACACACACACACATACACACACAAAATTGCCGCATCGAAATTGCTCCCGGACAAGAAAGAGAGTCTCGCCAAAAAGAAAAGATGCAGATAGCGAAGAACAGTTATACGCCGATAAGCGTCTGTACAAGTCTGCCCAAAACATACACACACACATGATTGCTGGTTGGCTTTTCTCACAAGCTCTTCCACTTCTAATCAGCATCCATTTGATCAGTCGTGTCACAAAGATAAGCACTTTGAGCACAAAAGAATTTAATATAAATGTCATGTTCGTACCTAAAAGTCACTTACTAAATCTTTCTTCAGAAATGTAAACCACCTGTTAGTTTTAAAAAGGAAGACATCTACCTATCAACTAAAGTATGCAAATGATAGCCACTGCTGAATGGTCCACAAGTGACTGCCCTTTTTTGTGCCAGTAGCGAGTCAAAAAGAAAAAAAGTTTTAGCGCCAAAAGCTAATCACATGCAAACTGCCATGATGAACNCTAATCAGCATCCATTTGATCAGTCGTGTCACAAAGATAAGCACTTTGAGCACAAAAGAATTTAATATAAATGTCATGTTCGTACCTAAAAGTCACTTACTAAATCTTTCTTCAGAAATGTAAACCACCTGTTAGTTTTAAAAAGGAAGACATCTACCTATCAACTAAAGTATGCAAATGATAGCCACTGCTGAATGGTCCACAAGTGACTGCCCTTTTTTGTGCCAGTAGCGAGTCAAAAAGAAAAAAAGTTTTAGCGCCAAAAGCTAATCACATGCAAACTGCCATGATGAACAAATGTTTGATTTATTATCGATAAAAAACTGTATATCTGCAAATCAAGTACGTGAGGCTGTGNCTGTTCGCACCTAAAAGTCACTTACTAAATCTTTCTTCAGAAATGTAAACCACCTGTTAGTTTTAAAAAGAAAGACATCTACCTGTCAACTAAAGTATGCAAATGATAGCCACTGCTGAATGGTCCACAAGTGACTGCCCTTTTTTGTGCCAGTAGCGAGTCAAAAAAATAAGTTTTAGCGCCAAAAGCTAATCACATGCAAACTGCCATGATGAACAAATGTTTGATTTATTATCGATAAAAAACTGTATATCTGCAAATCAAGTACGTGAGGCTGTGCAGTGCTGCTCGAATATAGTGTTTCATATACACACAGAATATGACAGCTTTAAACGACTGTTGTTGTATAAAAAGTCTATCACAGTGAGAAGCATCCTTGAATCCTTCCTGACCAAGGTTAAATAAACCGATAACAGTTAACAAACAAATTAAGTTCGACACTGATCAGCAAAACAAACCAGTGAGTAGAGGTTCAGCGGTAGCTGTAAGCACAGACGCGGACAGTCTGGCGCCAGTGTTTGGCCCATTAGAGGCACACAGTGTATGTGTGTGCACTCAGTTTGCAAAAGTATCCAGACAGACTTGCCAGTCAGACGCTGAGCGCCTTCACGGCAATTAACAGTGGGCAAGGAAGGAAAGAGGGGGACACGAATGAAGGGGGTCACTCAATACGTTCCACCAGAAGACAATCAGGTTCCCTGTGGTGTCTGCCATTGGCAGACGCCAATGATGCAAACACTGGCCAAACTGAATGCAAACAGTTCTAGAAAACGGCTCGATACGAGACTCAGATCAAACAGAGACAACCAAAGAGCAAGTAAGAGACCAAAAGTGCCTCAAGACGTAATGTCGACTTGACTGTGTGAATCAACAAACTGTAGAGTAGTAGACAACCGTTAATGGCAGCTGATTTGTCGGCAATTGCTTACTTTGAGCAAAGAGAGAAATACAAATGGGAACGTCTAAACACAAGAGGTAGACTAAATACTGGCAAAACAATTGAATGAAAAATAACTTTAGAAAGCGTGCTTATTCGCTTACCCGAAGAGGGGACTAAAAAACGAGCATTTTCAGTCTAACTGTCAATTGTTGCATGTGTCGATTGCAAGAATCGGGTTCAATTCTCCAAAAACCTATTATTCAGGTTCTATATTTAATATTACAAAATACAAAAAAACTAAAATTTGAGACGTCTTCAGGAAAGAGGGAGAGGGTTAGCAAATTGATGTTTTATGACTACACACTTCCCCAGATTTCCCACTTTGAAGGAAACACGAGACCAATTTGTGCATCGAGCTGCTTTCACATATAGACGCGATCTCCCCTACCAGGAGATGTCACGTCGGGTGCCGAAAACGATGTAACACTTTGCACTTGTTTCTCTGTTGTTTTTATTAGCAATACTGCTCAGCGACATTTGACAGTGCCAAAAAGCAATAAATATTGTTTCAACAAAAAAACTTATTTTTAAAACACACAAACCGAGTCACTCACCAACAAACAATCTAAGCATGAAATTGCAAATTCATTTTTCAAAGAAAACTAATTAATCATACTTTTGCATATACAGGCAAATAAAGCACAAAGTCACTGCTGCTTAGTGGACACTTTCAGTTGAACAGTTGACTCTCAAAATGTCACTACATCTTGAACAGTCAGACTGTTCAAGACTTGTCCTTTGTAGGTCACTGTGATGCAAAATTAGAAGGCAGCAGCACTAATCGGTTGATGACATTACGTGTGCGTGTTTCTAGGAAAGAGAGAGAGAGAGAAAAAGAAAGAAAAGGGCACAAATTGATTGAGCTAAAGAGGTGACGGTGATCCCTGCACCTAAAAATACCCCTGCGGGTCTTTCCATGTCTGGAAGGAGGAGAGGCAGCAGAGGCAGCTCCAGTGTGTGGTCGTTCGGTGGCGGAAAAAACGACAGACGTGCACCATGTTATAAATAATTGAAACGTCTCCTTCTCCCTCTTCAATTCGTAAATTTTCATTTCACTAGCCCCCTTCTTTTAAGTGCACGCTGCAGAAATTGAAGCTGACAGATAGTATATGGAAATTAACTTTCTCTCAATTGGCTGGGACTGCGTTTGCAGACAGCAAACTAGATCTTTGCAGCAGTGCTAAACTGATAAAAGCAAAACTGGTGACAACAATTAATAATTTATATGCACCACAGAGAGTGATGATCCAATGCAGATGACACAGAGGAAACAAAGTTCANTTCTCCCTCTTCAATTCGTAAATTTTCATTTCACTAGCCCCCTTCTTTTAAGTGCACGCTGCAGAAATTGCAGTTGACAGATCATATATGGAAATTAACTTTCTCTCAATTGGCTGGGGCTGCGTTTGCAGACAGACCACAAACTAGATCTTTGCAGCAGTGCTAAACTGATAAAAGCAAAACTGGTGACAACAATTAATAATTTATATGCGCCACAGAGAGTGATGATCCAATGCAGATGACACAGAGGAAACAAAGTTCAGTCTATTTTTATTTGGATGGGGGTCAAAATCTTGCAGCCGAAATCTTGCAGGCCCAAAATCTTGCATTTATTAATTTTTCTATAGTTTAGTTATGTTTGAAAAGGTAAGTGGATATTTTATCGTAATAATTTCACAACAGCCATTTCATTGAGAGCCTTTTCATCGCAGTTCAACTACCTAGCGGGAGCAGGCTCCTCCAAACCCCCCCCCGCTATATTATTTTAACTAACGATAAAATTGCCATGAAAAGGTTTGCAATGAAATGGCTGCGATGAAATTGTTACGATGAAATTTCCGTTTACCTTTTCGAACATAACTAATAACTAAACTAAAAAATAATAAATGCGAGATATTAGACTTGCGAGATTTTGGGTCGCAAGATTTAGTTCGCGGCCCTTTATTTGTAGATCATAGCAAGAGATTAGTCGAGCACATGGTTTTACCATTTAAAATTGCGACATTGTACGAGTGAACACCAAAAAAGTGCTCATCGACAAGGCAACTAAACACCAATGAAACCGCTTAGGCTAACCCAAATAAAATCCGTTCACCGGAAAATAGAGAGGCTGAAACGAGGTCGAATTTAGATTTGAGTGTAAACGGAACAACTGCTTTGTATTGGGGGTTTGTACGTCAGTTTTTTAGCGTCACCACAGCTTGTGAAAATAAAAAATCAAGTGATGTCACAGTGAAGCAGTGTCAGCAGGAGTGAGTCACAAGACTTGAGAGTAAAGTGAGAATTGATGACGATTAGCAAAGGCATAGACAAAGAGTGATATAGATAGAGTGAAAAAACAAGCAGAAGAAGAGAGGCAACCTCTAGGCACACTAAGATGCGAAATGAACCAACGACACTGACATAGAAGTGGCAATGAGCAGAAGACATCTGTGTCATTCTCAGGGAGAAAGAACAACACTGCAAAAATAACGTCACCTGTACAAGGATACGACACAAAAGAATTTGTACAGGAAAGGGTAGGCTTGCAAAAGATAAGGATAAAATAAAACAAACAAGACACTAGACATCTGCAAAATCTCAAAATCAATATTTAATTTTAGACACTTTAAAGTCCTGGTCACATATAGGTGGAAACCAACACACAACGGTGATAACACTCATTGAGACTCTAACTTTAAAACCCCACTTTTTGCAGTTAAAAATAATTACTGAAACCTGGTTGAATACTGCCTCGTTAATACAGTCTAAACCGAAACCTAGGTAAAATGAGTGATTGCAATTGAATGGTGAAAGTGTCCCAAAGCGGGCAGAAAAACTGCCAACCCAGACATAGATTAGCGGTGTACATGAAGAGAGAAGATTGCACTGGTAGACAAGTGTTCGCCAAACTGCACCGGCAGAGCCCCTCGCTGAAGTGCAAAAACTTTCCTTCCTCATGATACTGCTGCCGCGTTTATGAAGTAAAACAAACAGCAAAGACGCTTGGTACTACTCGATATCTGGTGATTAGGAGAAATAGTCAACAGAGAAGTTGACAGTGTGTGTGTTTCATTTCGAAAGTAGCTACCCGTCTTTGGGGGGAGGGCACCAGTTGTGATAGTGCAAGAGAAGAAGAACAGGTCATACTGGGCGGCTGAAGTAGGCTGACTAAGAGAGAGATAGGAGAGACCAATGAGCAAATAGCCATTACAGTGGGCACAATACACTTTGGCCACTCTTCATCAACACAGGCCGGTCCACTTTACTTCAGTCGCCCAGGCTGCTAAATTGGGGGACCCTGAAAAGTTAGAAGCACATCAGTAGAGCAATACTGGAGATAATGGTTCAAAAAGTTTACAAACGACAACAGAGAAGATTATGGAGGCTACTGCGTGGCACACTGCGTACAATTGCCACAATTGCCTATCATTTATCTAAACTGCAAAGAGAAAGTTCAAAGGCAAAGAGAGAGGCAAAACGGGAGGAGTAGAAACATCAAATTAAACAAACAGATACAATGAAAAGAGAAAGCTTCCACGCTGACGCACGAACATGCAGTTCAATGTCAATGGAGGAAAGTAGAGGGGGTAGGAAGTGAGAGTGAAAGAGGGAGAATGAGTGAGGGTGAGGGTGAAGGGGCAGGGGAAAAGGGTCAGGAGCAGGAAGACACACCCGAGTGGCTCCCGCCTCGACCTTGCCCGTTCATCCGTCTCTTCTCCTCTTAAAGGTCACTGGAAGAGTCCATCCACAAGCGGACAGCACAGAGAGGACTGTGCTGAGGGTCATCACGTCTTCGCAGTTTTGTTGTCAGCTCGCTCAAAAAGACACAAAGCATGTAGGCAAGTTATAGCAAGCTGAAACGTCAATATGTAAATAAATCCCAAAAAATACCCTGCTAGTAAATTCTGTAGGCCACTTCTGCTGACTGCTGCAGGGAAATAAGTTGCATCCACGCTTCTAATATGTGTATACGCACGCAAATGGTTGACTATGAGGCATACCAGAAATGCATAAACACACACACCACACTGCAGCCATTAAAATGACTCTGTTGTGAAATGCTCCAACAAGAGTAAACTGGATGCTACCAGTTTCCAGCGACACAGGCAGACTCTGAAAGATTGATTCAAGATGACCAGTTTGGTGTCGGCTGAAATATTGTAAAATATAGTGATAGAGATGAAGAGAGCACAGAATGCATCGTAATCACCCTCAAAATATTCCACTCTCTAAATTACAATGGTCATGGTCAAGTGCTGGTAGCAGCAGCAGTGCCTACCGACAAAGTGACACTACTAGAGTGTGCCTACAACAATAGATCCTCACCAGCTAAGACAATACATTACTGATTTGAGGCTAACGTAATGGAAACGTACTGGGCGAAAAGAAGGCGAATAGAGTAGCCGCCAACATTAGGCGCCAGTATGGCTGCAAATGCCAAGAAAGTGTCTAATCACTACTTTATGGACATTGCACGCCAATAAAGATACAGGAAGGCATCAATAGGAAAAAAAGAAGACTACAGTCAACTGCAGTGATGATAAACACCCTGGTACTCGATCGAAACAAAACACATGATCTATCCGTCCAAGTGAAAGACAGGTGTCTCTACGCAAAGAAAGCCAAGGGGCCGGAAAGATGACAGAGCAGAAATGCAGGGCCAAGACACCGTTATCGAGAACAAAAAAGTGCCAACAATAAAAGCACATCACATTACATTACATGCAACAAGTAAAAATCACGAAAACCTATTAAAATGATTGCAACGAGAGCAACTTTCAAAAAGAGGAGCAGTCACTTGCACAATTAAAATTCAACAAACGGGAGAGAAATTAGAGCACTAGGCGGAAGGTATCCCTAACTGAAAAGGCCTTAGATTAGCACGCATTGAAAAGTTGGCAAATAGACCTGACCGTGAAAAGCAGTAGGAGTTAAAGTCTGGTGCAAATGAATGGCAGCAATGAAATGAACGAGCACTACTACCAAGTCCAAGTACGATTGCACTGCTTTCTGTGCTTCCTAGAGCTAGCTGTGCTACCACTACTGCACATTGTTGTTTGCACTTGACATACCTGAAGTTCGCACCAGGCAACGGCCACTCCGGTGCTAGAATCCAAGCCCTTGTAGACGGTCTTAAACGATCCGCGACCGATTTCCTCGAACTTGAGGAAGCGTCCATCGGAGGAGGAGTCAAGGGCGTCGTGCTCCAGCGGGATCTTTCGCTGCACGGCGACGGCATTTGCTGCGGAGGAAGCGGCTGTCGCTGAGGTGGCCGGCGCCGAAGTTGCCTCCTGACAGGGCGCCGCCGGTGGTGTCGGTGAAACGGATGATGATGATGGTGGTGTCGTGGAAGTTGGCGCCAGTTGAGACATTGCTGTGGCGGGGTGTGACGATGTGAGTGTGGACGGTGGCGACTCACTGGCAGTGGACACTCTCGGCATAGCAGCAGCACTTTCACTAGCTGATTCACTGACAAACTCATTATTATTACTACGACTACCATTGGTAGGCCCTTCGGTCCTCTCGTTGGGTGATCCCTCACGAATCTCCCCTTCCTGCCGACACTCTGTCCTCTCGTCGCAGGGCACAGGGGACACTGGTGAAACGTTGTGCAGGTTATCACAAGTGGTGGTGGTGGTGGTGGTGGTGATGGTGTCGGACGCTGTGGTGTTGGTGTTGGTGGCGGTATCACAAATGGCCATTTGATGAGTGAAAGTGGAATAATGTAGATTGCTGTCTGCAGACAGGGCCGAGCTGGTGTCAGCAGAGCTGGGACTGCCTGCCCGGGGAGGAATTGAAAATTGGCACGAGTGAACCATCGTGGTGACTTGCGATGGCTGCACTTGATGACTATCACTGTTGAGTTCACCCTGTGGTATATGACATTCACTGCTGGCACAATTCAAATTCGTGTCACTGCACACTGTGTTGACCATCTTTGAAGCAGGCGTCGGTGAGGGGGAAGAGGCGGTGTGGGTGATGGTCGAGGAGGAAGAAGACGATGAAGTGCATGTAGCAGGCTTTGACTCAACCTGCTTAGTCGTGGTCATAGTGACTAAGTGGCTTTGCGGCTGAGACTGAGATGATGACGGTTGCTGCTGCTGCTGATGCTCTTGGGCGATGCAGTTACTTGAACTTTCGGTGGCGCGAGATGCTTGCAGACAGCGGCAGTCCGAATGCTGGTGAGGCTGACTATTGGACGCTGCATTGGAATAATTGATTACAGTGTTTCCTTGCCTAGTAGAGTTAGCAGTGGGTAGTTCCTCTGCTCTGGTGACCAGTTTACCCGAAGAAGATTTGCCAAGGTTGTGCAAAGAAGAAGTAGATGCTTCTGAAACGTTAAGATCATTAGTGTGAGTGCCTGGTGACTGGTGAATGGTGGTGTCAGCAGCGGAGATGCTAGTATCGATTATCACAGTCTTTGCAGAAGTTGATAAAGCAGTCGGTGACAGTGTTGTGGCTCTATGTTCAGCCTCACTTTTGGCGCCGTCGTTTAAATGCTCAGAGGGAGACGAGTCGATCATAGAAGACGAGACATGTGGCGATTGTTTTTGAACATCATCATCGTCAGCAGCGGGCAGTGGTCCTGACGCTTCTGGTAAAGTGCGCTCGCTGTTCTGCGAAGCCGACGACGACATGGATATGGCCGTGGCTGCCTCAAATGCGACAATGTCGCCTCGTGCAGAGGATGGCTCTCGTAATGAGGATGTCGCGCCGATGCCGCCGTCGAGCTTGTGATGATGATGATGGTGGTGGTGATGGTGGTGGTGGTGATGCTGTCGCTGCTGTTGCTGTTGCTGCTGGTTGGTGATCGAAGTGCTAGGCGCAGCTGTGGTGGTGGTGGAGCAGGCGGCACTACTGCGGCCAACCGTCAGACTAGCAGCAGCAGGCGAGAACACTTGTGGCTGGCTGTAGCTGCAGACTCGTTGCCTCGGATTGTCATCCCCGTTTCCAATCGCACCATTGCAACACTGTTGGTGACAAGTAACGCTTGCTTCATGCTTGTCCTCTCCGACGGTTGTGGTAGAGGCAGTGGTGATCTCCAGGCGGCGATTATCACCAGGCAGTAATTCTCTTGAAGCTGAACTGCTGCTGCCGCTGTTGCCTTTGCTGCTGTTGCTGCTGCTACCGTTGGTGACTGCGCCGAAGCAAGTCAAAGTCGAGGAGTCATTCGAGGTTAAGTCAGACTGCGGCTGTTGCAATGTGTGTTGATGTCGAGCAGGCGACTGTTGTTGCTTGAATGAGGAAGCCGGCAGCGTAGAGACTGCCGCCGACGACGACGAAGGAGAAGAAGAAGCAGCAGTGCTAATCGAAGCTGTGGCGCCCAAAGACGAAGGCGAAGTAGCCGAGAAGGAGCTGGTAGAACTGGCAGTGGTCGCAGCAGTGGAGGTTGCAGGAGCAGGCAGGGAAGAAGTAGGTGAAGCGGCCCCGCTACTCATGCTACTACCCGCCACTGGAGGGGGGCAAGTACGGGAATAGCTGCGACGACTGCGACGGCCTGCCGTCTCTGCCGAGAGATGATGATGCCGGGCAGAGGATGCTGATGCTGGTGGTGAGGTTGATGCTTGACTTGATGCGGCGGAAAGTTGCGCGGGAAAACTAGATCTCAGCGACGGAGGAGAATCGATGCCACCGTTGCCGCCGTAGTACGAAATCAGGGGAATGAGAATGCCCACGCCGGGAATTAATTGCGAGTGCGGGTGGAGGAGGGTGTTCGGGTGGTGGAGGCTGCTGGGAGCCACTAACCCACTGGGGTGCTCTCCGTCCAGGAGGCCAGTGCTGTCACCGGCAAAGTTGCCGTAGTCCACTGAAACGTGTCGAGTGGAGTAGCCGCTTGATTCAAAGTACGCCTGCGGATTGTGCACCTCCTCTTCCTCTTCCTCCTCCTCTTCCTCTTCTCCTTGGAGGTGCTTCCGTGAAAACTTTGGGTCAGCACAGCACTCGGAGCAGGAATGAATCCGAGGGGGAAGCTGTCGAGAAATGGTAGTTGTCCGTGCTCTGCGTGTAAATGGCACTTCAACTCCCTCTTGAATGTCCTCAACGCCGTCCTCAAAGTCGTCCACTGGATCAAAACGCTGATGATGGTGCTGGTGCCGGTCGAATGTGCTCGCAGCGGTACTCTTCAAGCAGGCGGCGTTTGCTTCGAATGCTTCGAAATCTTCCCTCCAAAGGCGCCGCCGACTTTGTTCTTGCAGCAGCTGTCGCTGTCTTTCACTGTCACGGTCGTCGTCGTCGTCGTTCTCGTCGTTGTTGTTGTTCACTCCAGTCAGCTCCTCTACACTGCTCGACAGTAGCAAGTTGTTTAAATGCGGCGGTGATGCTGACGATGTTGAAACGGTTGAATAGACGGAGGCAGATGGAGAGCTTCCGTAGTAGGGGCTGCTTCCACGAACTGGGCGACGGGGCACCAGTGGAGACTGCTGCAGCTGCTGTTGGTAATGATTTCGGCGACTCTGCCGCTCAAAGGGATGTCGTGAGGGAACGCCTAGGCTGTGCGTCGTAAAGTACACATCCTCTTCATCACTCTCCGGGTCGTAATCGTCCGATCGGGCGTCGTAAAGTGAGTTGTTGCAGTCCTTCTCCCTAAAGGACTTCCAGCCTCTCAAGCTTGAGGTGTTGCTTCGCTTCCTTCGGAGCTGTGACAACTTCTTCGGCTGTCTACTACTCAGCTGCTTCCGACTACTGCTCGGACTGTCGGGAGTAGCCCAGATCTGCTCTGCGCGACGGTACTGATAGACGTTGGCCGAAGGAACCGGAAATGCTCCCGGGCCGACGGTGAGATAGGGACGGGTCCTCTCAAACTCGTCCACCTCTCGGTCTCTCTGCCTTCTACGTTCTCTGCCCTCTTCTCTGGCCTTCAGACTCCGCAGTGAGGCAGTTCGCTTCAGTCGTTGATCTAGTGACTCAAAGTGCTCGACTGCTTGCCGAAGAGATTGCCCATAAGGTGGTCGTAGATCATCAAGGTGAGATTGATCCGGACGAGTGAGGAGGAGGTTCTGCTGGTGTCGGCTGTTTTGTGACGGGAATTCATGGTGACTGGGGAAACGGTGCTGGTGCTCAGTTGCAGCTGTCGATGTTTGCTGCAGACAGTGGCAAGTCGGCGGTGGAGGTGGTGGTGGTGCACTACGAAAGGATGATGATGACGAATGCGGCAATGCTGATGTGACGAAACTGCTGCGCAGACATTTATTGCCTGCACCGGTGTGGCTGGTAGCTGAGTGGCTGATTGACACACTGGTATTCACTGATGCTGATGATGCTGTACCTGTACAGACTGATGACGATGAAGCACCTTTTGTGTGTACTTCCACTGTTATCGATAAGAAAAGGTTAGAATAAAAAAGATGGAAAAGTACATCAAAATACGAGAAAGTAGTGTGATTGGAGAAAGACAATTGATGTTTGGTTAGAATGTACAATGGCGGTTGAGCAAAAACAAGCGACAAAGGGTTCAAAACGATTACCAAGATTTCCACAGTGCCCAAAAGCAATACAAAACAATTAGCAGCAGAAAAAACCAGTTGCCGATTGTATGAAAGCGAAGCAGAAAAACGATGATGCAATAATAAAGGTAAGTTGCAAGAAAGTGGCAAGTTTTTGTGTAGATGCGCAAAAATTGTTCAGTTGATATCCAGAAAGTTGATAAAAAGGAAAACATGAAAAAACAAAATAAAGATGAATTAGTGAGATTGAAAAACAAGACGAATAAAATAAGATAAAACTTGTAAGCATACTCTTTTAAACATATCAGTTTCAGAATAATATTCAAAGCTATCAACACAGATGGGTTCAGAAAAACAGAGTCTAAAAAATTGAGTTTCACTGTAATTAATTTACTGTAAATAAATTTAGTGTTTCTAAGAAATTATAAAAACAATCGGCACACTGGTGAACACTAATAAACACAAACAAAACATTTCCGTAGAGTACACAGCAAATAAAATTGTAAAGGTCAAAGCAGAAGAACAAAAGAGACCGCCAAATAGTAATCCAGGATCTGTGCACTTCCGAATACTGTGCCTCATCCAATTTAGCGCAATGTTTGATACCTTTTTCAGTCTACTTGTGGGAGAATGTATAAACTTCATTAATCACAGAAACTAAAATGATGCCCGACAAGCACATATGGCGTTTCCTTTGAAATGCTACAACTTTTTCCTACTAATAACTAAGTTCAAAAATATTTTTAGCAGCAGCAGCTAATCTTTACGTCGACATTTTTAATAACAGAAAATTATTAAAAAAGTTTGATTTCTAAAATGACATTTGATCATAAGCTGACTCATCAAATAAAAAACTTTTTTTATTACCGGCTCAATTTAGAAACAAAAGGTTCACCAGATTGCCGTCATAAGCGGTAATTTCTGATGAGCAGACAGCTCCTCCAATCATCTGGACAAGTAGAGTTTAGCCTGCGACAAATCAACACACCAAACGTAGATGTATTGCTAAAACGTCAAAAGTTGCTAATGATCAAGGGGAGCCTGTTGTTGGGGACAGTGTCTAGCACAGTGCATCGATGACAAACGTGATCGTCAAAAGGCTGGCTGGCAGTATCCAGGGTGAATCCTACTGAAAGTGACTGCTGAAGGTACACTGAATGGCCAAAGTGCGGTCGCAGCATGGAAACAGCACGCGACAGTTTATTGGAAAAAACAAAAGCAAATTAGCTGAGTGACAAAAAGGAAAGCAAGTTCCAGTGAACACAGATAGCAGTCTCTACAAAAAGTTTACTAGAAAACCCCAGCAAAAAATGAATCACTTCCTAATCAGGGAATAGGGACAAAGGGACAAGGACAGTCTTTGTCATCTGAAACAACGCTCGAAGCGTTTCTCCCCTAAAAGAAGGTGTTGAATTAGCGATTATGTCCAGAGTAAACCTGATTTAACAAGTAGAAGGTATTACCATTTTCCTGAAAAAATCTGTGGTTCTGACATTTTTCCTCGAAATAGTCAAAAAGAGGCAGCGCGCAAGATGACCATGTGGCTACATAAATCTTGTTAACCGCCAATTTAAACGGTTCAAAGTGCCTCTCTCTCTCTCTCTCTTTCTCTCTTTCCAAACTGGCTAACCCTCTCTCCTCTCAAGTGTAGCCTCTTCTCAGTTTGCAAAGTAATTTTCCGCCTCTTGAAAAAGTTAGCAAGTGCTCAGTTGAATAGTTGAAGGGTAGGAGCTAAACCGTATAATAAATCTATCTATGCAAGTCTCACATAATGATCGGTTTAGTAAACGATTGAAAGGACACGCACTTCAAGCCATAAAAAGTTTTGCTGCTTTTTTGACAATTTAAAGGACTTTGCCCTGTTCTAAGGATGCTATAAAAATTTAAACCATTAGTTTAAATTACAAAAAAACAATAGACTAATGAAAAAACACTTTTTGATCTATTAAAAACAAATAGAAAAAAAAATTGAAATTGAAACCAACAAAAGCGACTTTTGTTGTTAGCACTTGACTAGAAAGAATCCAATTGAAGGCGAGGCAAATCTGCTCTGACAAGGATACGTCAAACAGAATAAGAAAAAGGCACCACCAAATGCGTGCAAAAAAGAGTAAGAGAATTTGTCGTCCAACTTGAGAATCCTACGAGCAAGTCATGCAGAGGAAGGAGGAACAGAAATGGCCGCACATTGAGCATGGCAAACCGAAAGCAAGGCCGGGAGAGTGCTGAAGGAGAAGATCGAGTGAACAAAGGAAACAAAACAAACTCGTAAAGGCTGTCACACGTGCTCTACGCCAGATCTGCATTTCAAACTTGACGGATTTCTCCAGAAGTCTTGTGCTATACACCTCGTGAACTTTCCGCGCACTAGCACTGCTCACACAAATCAACAAACTGTGCTAAACTTGAAAGCAATACAAACAAATTAAAGCAAAAAAGAAACGCTTTCAAAAGTCGCTAGAAATCGGGTTTGAATAATAAATTAAGTGTAACTTAAAAACTAAATAAACACTTGAACTGAAAGTTGAAATAAAAATTAATAAATTTTATACTTGAACATTTAGCTTGAACAGCTAGGCAAGGCTCTCCACTTCAACGTAAGTGCCCTGACATTTTAAGAGAGTGTCAATTGAGCCGAATAATACGTTAATTAAATATCACATTGTCAGATAGTAGTGCTGCAGCAGCACAATACAGATGTGGTACATGTTCGGTCAATGGCGCAAGCTGCTGGGGTGTGCATAAAAATAGAACACCGCAGACAGAGACAGAGATACTCTTGGCTATAACTGCTAACCCACAGCGGTCTCTACCAAAGAGAAGAAGTGAGATGTAATAAGAAGAAGAGTAATAATACTCTTTTACGCAGATTTATCATACTGTCTTGCTGCTGAAAACAGGCAAATGAAAAAACAAATAAAATTCATGCAAAAATATAAAACGGTGTAGCGGTACACCGAGAGGCATTTAATGCCAAGTCCCAATAAAAGATCCCT